TGGAATTTGCATTCTAGAGACATAATTCTCCTGTCTTCTTCACCCCCAACTGAATGGGAGAAGCACTAGAAGGCCTGGCGTGGAGTCCGGCCATTTCAGGAGTCTTTTTAGCTGAAGCAGTTTGGTCAGTAGGAAGAACTGGACAGAGAATTCATGAAAGTTTCGCAAGGACTTCAGTCTTCTGGGCTGTGGCTTGTAGTCCTTGCTGCAGCATGTTCCCCCAGGCCCCTTCTTTCCCTGTACAGTACTAACTTGCCCCCTTGTCTTCTGTGTTAGCGGCTGGGCCTCATAATCCCCAGGCAGCTTGCAGCTGGTTTGTTACTGTCACCCCACGAAGTTGTGCCATTCGGTTCCAGCAGGCACACTGGTTTGGACATCCACTTCCTGGAGCTGACAAATGTTTCTCTAGGCTGTGGGCTGGGGTGACTGTTTGGGACGTGGTTTTCCTTTGTGCCACTGAAGATATATCTTTATCACTGTTTGCTCTGAATATTGATTGGGATCTTTCTTCTCCTTTAGCAGAATGTTGAAATAAACTTCCACGAGAATCCTGGGGAGGTGAAGTCCTAACATCTGCTAATAAAGAACAGCTTCAAACAAAGCAGTCTGGATTAGCCTTGCAAAGGTGAAAATGGCACTGGGCCTGCCTCCAAAGGGCTGTAATATTACATGTGTGCCCTTCTGGCCTCTGCCTGCAAATCACCATCTTGAGGATATCAAAAGAAATATTTTCCACTTCTAGAGCATGCCAGATCCTAGAGGTACTGTCACACAAAATAAACTCTCCTCCAAGTGACCAAAAATGCTATTTTCTGTCTGTTTTGGGAACACATAGATACATGGAAGTGAGATGGAGAAACCATCAGAGGGAGGATCTGATACATTAAACACACAGGGAACCCTCATAGTAGCCATGGGGCTGACGGAAAAACACAAATCGACCAGGAAGCGTTCATACTGAGCACACAAAGAGGCACATTTTTGCCTTGTCTCAAAGATACTCAAGAGCACATCCAAGTTTTCTCTGTGGTGTGGTTGCTAAAACATGGGTGACATGGCACAATAATTCTATGAATATATTTTTGAATACTTTTCATTATGAAGAAATGTGTACTCTGACGTTTCTCTGAGACTGGACGGGGGGCAGGTGAAAAGTCAGGAAACATTTGTTTCTTGTCTGTGGTAATATGGCGTGATAATTTAGAAAATTTTGTAGTAATTATACAATGTTGACTATATTTTAAATATATTGATTAGTCTGCAAAAATATATAAAGGCAAGAATTTGGCTTTTCACCACATGTGGTATGCAAAACACTGATATATGAGCACCTGTTTTTTGTTGTTGTTGGTTTTTGCTAACCTTCAATTGTTTTTAAAAAGCTGACAGAAACTGGGCCTCATGGTGCACACTAGCAATCCCAGTATTCTGGGAGCCAAGGTAGGAAGGTTGCAAATTAAAGCTCAACTTGTAATTTAGCAAGGCTCTGTCTCAAAATAAAAATAAAGAACTGGGGATGTAGCACAGTACAAAGTCTCTGAGCTCAATATCTAGTGTCCCCCACCCCCCACCCCCCCCAAAACAAGAGAAGAAACAGAATTCTGAATACAGAAATGTTAGAGGACATGAAATCAAGGCACATGAAATATTTTTGCTTTTAGGTTACAGTATTACTTTCAATTATTTAACTACCTTCTCATTAATTTGTCATCTTAGTAACAGCATGATCAGAATATCTCAGATTTTTTCACATTTATACTACATAACAAAGGTACATAAGAGCCACACTTCTTTATGATTCTATAGTACTCTTTTGTAACTCAATTCTAAGTCGTCTGATATTTTTCAGTCAGTTAAAGACATCCTCATTACACAGGGTACCTGTTTTAAAGTTCATTATGTGACAGGTAAAGCTGTAACTTTCCTTATCTACCTCCATAGTCACAGTTTCCTATTGGAAAAAGGCAAGGTAGTTTCATGTGTGTTCAAGATTTTCAATATATAAAGTAACGAGGAATTTTCCCTTCTCACTTAGAGATTCTACTCACATTTGTGAAACAAAAGGTAGTGAATCTTTTCACCATGCATATTTTTCAAGACATAGGAAGAATTTATATAGAGCTACTTCACTTGCCTGTTCTTAGTTTCTGTGACTGGCAAAGAGGAGAGGAGACCGAGGAAATGCCATCCACCCATATCACCAAACTCACAAAACTGGAAAGCGTCATCCATGGTGACATCAGCAATGGGACAAGAGTCATTTGTGCGGGGTGGAAATTTTAAGCATAAATTGTTTTCTAGAAGTTTTGCGAATTTCAGTTCCCACAGCCTCTCTATAAAGGATTAAGCAGTACCGGACACAGTGAGTTCAGTCATTTGTTTTCTCTGGCCTTAAAGAAAAAAAGCGGGCCACACACACCCAATTATCGAACTACTTTTTTTCTTCTTGTGACCCATCCAAACATTCTGTTACGAAGTTGAATCATTTCAGTTACTGTAATTTTTTCCTAAAGGTTCTGGTTCCCACACTCAAATTCTGTCTCCAAAGTCAAATTCAAACTCCAATTCCCGAAATCTGTTTCAAAACACATTCACAGCCTAACCCTTGAGAAAGGGAACTTTAAGCTCTACTTGTCTCGCTTCAGAATGAGTCAAAGATTTTAAAAAGCAACAAAAATGTGAAATCCCTCGATGAAGTGTTTTTGAAGTGTCCTGGCCCAATCTTGTAAGCGGTCAAACATTATCTAACTCTATTCAATTTGTAAAATGGAAAACAGCTAAACTTAGCACAAACACAGGCAAACAGCTGTGTTCAAAAAAGAAAAGCTTATTCACACACACAAGGGGGATCAGCATTAGATCTAATTTAGGGGTGGTGATGGGCAGAAAGGAATACGTGAGAGGAATTGAGCAATGAGGGTAGATGACGTGGGGCGGGTCATGCCAGCTGAAAATAATAACTCCATGGCATAGTAAAATAATTAGGGGAAACATACGACTTTGTAAAAATAGTTACTAACTCCACCTACATGAAGGAACTAATTATCAATATAATGGTACATATGAGATTTTTTAAAAATTGAAATAAAAACTGAGTATAGGTTTCTACGCAAAGTTTGAGGCCCTGCTCTCTTTGTTCAGAATAGTGTTGTGACTTCAACATTATGGATCAGGAGGTGAGTGACTAGGACTGAACTTTATGGGTTTTCCTCCTAACATTCTTGCAGAGGAAACAGGCTTTCCCCTTATGGCACAGAAACCAGATGAACACAGAGAAGACCCTGAAGGACAGAGAAACAAATGAACAGAGAATCAGCTGGGGTAATGGTAGACACAATGGGTTTTCTGCTCACCATGTACTCTATACTGCACAGGATACACACACAGCGTCTCTTTATCCTTTCAACGACTCACGGACAGGGGCATTATTTCCATTTTATAGATGCCAACTCAGAGGTAATTTTCCCAACATATGAAGGCAACATCTAACTACATTTGCACCCAACCTCAAAGCCCAGCTTCTTCTGCCTCCAATCATTACCTCAAGTTATGCAAAGCCTGACGTGAGGAATCGAAACTAATGTACTTGGAACAAGATTACAGAATTGTGGCTTCCACTGGTGACTAGAATCATAGAATACACGATAAGTATCAGCTCGTTATCAAAATTAAATTGCACTTTCATAGAGTTACATTCATGTTATAGTAAGGACCCACACTAGGGTGCAGTTCCCATACAAACCATCAGCTGAAGAGACTCCATTTATTCCACTATGGAGTACCTTGTGAAGGATTCCATCTGAAATGAACTTCTAAGTATTAATGCATGCTTGGAGTATCTACATTGCTAGCAAACTCACATTAAACTTGATTTCTAAAAACTGCACTGCGACTTGGGCGTCAAATTTAAGCAGTTATGGTCCCTCCCATTATCAATGAAAAGTATAACCATAATGCACAGGAATATAACCCTCCAACCATGCATTCATTCCTTTTGAGAATGTGATTAAACTTATGGAAACTAGAAAAAAGGACAGTGTAAAGAATGTTTTGCATTTCAAAGCATAGGTCTATTTCAGTGTGATGGACTTATTCAACAGTTTTGTTAAAAGCTGGGGCTTCTATAATGCCCCCAAAAGACTGTTTGATGCATAACATCGAAGACTGTGTCAAAGCATGGGGATGTTCCATCCTCCAACCCCTCCTCATCCGCTCCATCTTTCTTCAGAACATCAGCTCAATTGGGGCTGGGAGATTCTGTTTGGTACACTGCTAGCTACATCAGGAGATGGAATTTGCATCTGAATCTGCCTATCTGTAGTTATTCCACAAGTTGAATGATTGGACAATTAATTTTTCAGTGGTTTACAGATGAGATTTCAATTATGAAAAGAAATTGTTCTACAAACAGTTTTTAAACACCATTGGCCCAGATAACTCAAGTGGAGATATTCCTAGAGGATTAACATTGAAGATCTAGGCAAATTTGAGAAATGGTACCAAATGCATTTCAAGAATGAGTCCAGTCAGAATCTCAGAGGTTGGTATGATCAGCGTGCAGTATGACCGACAGCACAGTGGTCAGTCCCTTAAATGGGAACCAGGTCAGAAAGCCTGGCACCAGCTCAGTATAGAGAGCCTTTGCTGATGGATGAGGCTGTCAAAGTGGTCATACACTTAAGTCTTTATAAAAGAAAAAACTAACAAGAGTAAAATCTGTCCTATAATGTCATTCTTTTTGTATGTACTAGGGGTGGTCAGAGAAACAATGACTGATTGCTGGTCTTGGATTCACAAGGTAAAATAAAGTGCCTTCCCTTCTGGTTGCAAAGGAACTCTGTCAATGTGAAATGAGAGGGAATGCATATTCAATTCTACTGCAAAAATATCTTTCAGCTCTGCTGAAAATAGCAAAAAAAAAGTTTTCTTAGAAAAAAATAAGCATGAATTTATGTACAGATTTTTTAAAAAGACATTTAATCTAGCAAGAACAATACAAAGGGGTTATATAAATTTATTTCTCATGTAACAATTGATTAGAAAAATTTCCATTTTCAATGTTAATTCCATCTTTCATTTTTTTAAAAAAAGTCACTAAAAGGACAAAACCACACACAAAAATACAATCTGTATCTGTTCTCTATTTACAGATAACCAGTCACTATTAAGGCGCAGATGGATTAAAAGCTAACATTTATTCAAATAATCCAAATATTCTGTGCATCATATACACTGACAACTCTGTATACTGTAGTGTCATATTCCCTTCATTCTATCAAGAGAAAGTGAGAAAAATAACTTCCAGTGTTTTTATTTTTAGCCACCCTCTTTTACCTATTTTAAGTGGGATAGTTTCTCCCTTTGGCATAATAAGAACACACTGTTCATAAAATCTGATCAATTTAACACTGCATATTCATTCTATCTTTCTCTTATTTGCAAAGACACAGTAGAAAGAGGAGAGAAGGGCTCCAACTGATTATTTTGTTATTTGTGGAAGATCTTACAAAAAAATAATCATATTTTAAAAATCGACTTGTTGAATAGGAAACAAAGTGAGAACTATTACGCTTTGCTTGAATGCTTGGCGTAACACTTTCCACATCAGAAGAACTCAAGGAGCTCCACACGAGTGTCTGTGCATGTGCACAGGAAGACGGCACTGTATGTGCAAAAGGAGAGACTTATTTCTACAACCTAGGGCAGAGGAGATTGAGTTTAGCTGTTCATTTTATAAGTGTGTCGTCTACGCCTTCAAGGTGACCAAGGTTCATTTTTTAAAGTGAACATTTTTTCTCTATGTGCAAAATACATTTTCAATTCTTGTTCTTCCTTTAATGGTAAGTTAGCTATGGAAAAAGGTCTGGGTGTTTCTCACTCCACATTTGCATAATTTCTCAATGATTGTATAAGTTTATCTAATGCCTTCTACTAAAAGCATGTCACAGTGGTTTATGTCCACATAGAAAGTCTTGAGTACTGAATATAAATAAGTCATTACAGGTAATTGAGAACACTTCCTATGGGAAAGCTTTCCAACAAATTAATATACTTGGAAATAATATTGCTTTGAATAAAGGAAGGCACTTTAGTGATTTTCTTCATGGATTAAAAACCTTCATAAATCCACAATAAGATATCTGAAAAGACCCAGGAAACAACGTTGCCCGATTTCTTAGACTTTCACAGTATGATTTTAACAATAAATGTAGCCACTGAGAAAACGGTCTCTTTTTTCCCTTCAAAATTCAGCTATCTTTATAAGCTGTCATCCTGGAGACTTAAATAAAGCCTTTCCATTCTCAAGCCTACTTGAAGCAAACAATTTTAGGAAAGTCCTGTGACCATACGGAGCACAATTAATGTATACCTCACAAGGACATATTGTTTTCTTTTCATAATGGCAACAGTGATGTCTTGTCAGATGGTTATCTGTCTTTTTAAATAAAGTGACAATCTAGGGCTCCAGTTATTGAATGCCGTCCATTCTCTACCATAAATCTCTAGCAAATATCAATTTCATCAATTATGTACTGTATGCTTATAATATCTAAAAATAAAAGTTTGATATAAATAAATGTCCTTTAGTGGCAGTATACTAAATAAAAACAGCCCTTTGCCTTCAAACAACCATTAAAACATTTTAGCAATATAGGCAGCAGCTAAATATGATGACTGCAAAGGGTTAATATTGCAAACTTCATTTGGTCTGTCTTTGCACCTGTTACCGTGAGCTAGGTTCACTGCTAGTTTCTAAGATGCTGACATAAATGACAAGAATTGGTCCGTAACCAAGTGGACTCACATTTCCCAAAATCACAGAATAGTCTGCAGAAAAGCTAATATCCAGTACCATTTCAAATAAAAATTTGATGTAGTCAGAAAAACATGACTAAATCTGATTTGTACCAACATGAAATTGAGAGAAACAAGAGAAAAAGAAAATTTCCACAGGACAAGAAATCAGAACATGTAAAGTGCTGAAAGGCCTCAATAATTCTTTTAAAGCAGTACCAGAAATTCCACTTTGATTATTTTTTTAAATTCCCAAATACCAAAACAAACAAAATAACTTTTAAGTTTACTGGCACCCCAGATGTTAATTTATCCTTCATTTTAAGTAAAAAAAAAAAAAAAAATCAGTGCATAATGTTATACAGGTTAAAAAATGGAAATAAAGCCCTATTTTCATATTGTAAATTCTGTCCAAATGTCATTTTAAAAAGTAATCCACATTTGGTGTTTTGTATGGCAGCATAAAGAAATCTCTGTAGTCTTCCTTTCTGCCGCAGAGTACAGGTGCGAGTAGATGCTTTGGTCCTGGTACCAGACACCCAGAGTGCTGAGGACAGTGTGCAGTGAAGCCGCTCGCAGGTCTCCCGGGTCCAGCTCTCCAGTCAGGGGTGGCATGTGCCTAGAGGGTGTCGCTACCAGCGCCCACTGACACTGGCAATGTCTGAGTGATACTGACGGGGCAGCCTCCCACTCGCTCCACCTTCCAGGAAAGAGGTGCGTGCATTTGGTGGTTCAAAAAGCTTCCTTCGGTTTTTATTTAGTTCTGGAGAGAAAGAGCAAGAGAGAATTGTTAGCAGCCCAGCAGAAGAGTTCCGTACACTACAGGACATGGCAGTTTAGCTCATAAAAATAGTGCCGCAGTAGGTTTTGGGGGGAATGTCAAGTCTAGTGGCAAAAGGAAAACTTTTAGTTAATGGTCAAGACATTTCTGACATACTAGAAAGCCTGACTGGTAGCCTCGAAAACCTAGGACAACAAATAGATTTTATGGTGGCAACAAAACTCTCTGGGGGCTTTACTATTCTCACAAGCTTTTAACCATGTTAAACCATTTGGCCGACACCAAAGGTTACTTGAGGGACAGAGGGACAATCGAGGCCAGTAACAGGTATGAGAGGGGATGTGGAAGATCTGTACACTTGCTGAAATCATCTACGTCAAACACTGCAGCCATTAAGTTGTTAAAGTCAGAAGTGAAAAGACACCCTGCATCTAAACCCGCAGATACTGGAGAGGACCCTGGAGCACTAAGCATTAAGTTGGCCCCCACGGCTCTGCCAAATCATGAAGTCTATGCTTCTTCAATCAGAAATGGTTAGGTAAAGAAGCAGAAGCTTTCTCTGAATAAAAATTCAACATATTATAAAAAATTCAACATAGTACAAATCACAGCAATTTAGAAAACATATACTGGAAAGCAACCAAAAATTGTATCCAAATTTTCAGGGAAAACTACAGTATTCTACTGTCATTTGCAAGAAACTAAAATTCTTAGAAACACTCCTTAGTTTGTCTATTGCCATGTAAAAATTATTTAGAAAGGTAAAAAGTTAACCAACACAGACTGCCTTGTTTATGATTGCATATACTCCCCTTAACTGACCCTGGAATCACTAATACAACTCTTTATAAGTCACTAATACAACTCTTAAGAGTCACATTGTGGAGATTACAGTTTCTGGTAACCACCAAAACCAAGTATCTGAAGACTTAATCAGTTTCAAATAAATTTCTTAAAGTTGTCCTTTCTGTTTAGCTTGAGGTAAGCTGTAGAAGTCATCTGACATTTTATATTTGCATGGGATTCAATTTTTCAACCACAGACACAATCCCTTTTTGAAATCTGAGGCCGTTGTACTATAAACTACGCAGAGCTACAGGAATGCCAAGGAAGAAACAGGCTAGGCTGTCACTGGTGGACAAGGACGGTCACAGGGCCAGACATACTCCTAATCCTTCAATTCCGGAATACAGGTCAACACCCTTAATATTCTGGGAATCACTCCACTTACTTTCGAAATGTATGTGCCTGCCTTGAATGGGTCAAGAGGACAACAGAAACAGCTCTCTTTAGTTCATATAGTTCTTAGAAGAAAAATAATGTATTGGACTTTATTATGTGATAAGCACTTCACATTTATTTTGTCCTATTCAAGTCCTAAGGAATAAGTAATATTAATATTTGTTTTATAAATAAGAAATCTGATTTTAGAAGGAGTTGATGCCACCTATCTGTTAAATGATGAAGCCTCATATCCCTGATGGATGCAAAGGTCAATGGACAAAGAAGATCAACTGAGGCCTCAAGAACACAAACCTGAGACACTAGGAGGTGCAGGTATCCCCAACAGTGAGTATTATTTCATATTTTGTTTACTAAAGTTACTTTTTAAATAAAAAAGCTTGACAACTCTACAAACAAATGACACATTTGGACATGCATACTGACAGCTATTGTTTCTACTTTTTGCACAATCAGAGTAGCAAAGACATTCCTATTAAAAGTTGAGCAAATGTGTCTTGTTCAATTAAAGCACACATGGAAGGAACTATCACAGTGAGACCCATTCATTCGTGCCACCAACATGAGTTAATACCTATAACAAACTCATAAGTACAGTACTTTAAAATTCAGAAATCAAGATGGAATCGAATACATTAAAAGGCAAACTTAGAAGAAGGTGAAGAATAAACAAAGCCCCTCAAGTGGGCTGCCTGTTATATTGCATTCAGGGACGAAGACCATCTTTGGGCTCCATTTTCCCAAGGGGCACGCAGTCTACAAATCAGGAAGGCATTCCCTTGTGATGGAGATGGAAGAGCCAGGACTGAGGCAAAGTGACATCCTTCCCTAGCACACAGAAGATGTGCACCTGAGCACGTGAAAACGAACGGGCCAGTGAAGACGATTTTTAAAAATAATTGTTGAAAACCTTTCCCTGAAAAGTCACATTAGCTGCATCTCTGAAAGAATAAAATGGGCATTAGGGAATCCAATCATTCCCTAAAGATACACTTTCATATGTATTTTTCACAAATGTGGAACACAAAGACATCTTCCAGTGAGGGTATTAAAGATCAAGTCCTACTGAAGAGACTTCAGGGGTCTTGTTGTTCTAAATTAAAACACAAACTCCTTCCTTGGACTGTTTTATTCTCAGTAAGCCTAAGGAATAGTTTGGGATAATACCAACCTTTTTCTTTGAAATCCCAAGGTTCACACAATCCTGGCAGCTCTCAGGATCTTGTTGCGGATCTGAACAGAGTCACAAACTAAAAGAATAGGTCGGGAAATGTTAGATCTACCTGAGGCCGTGGCAGGAAGCTTGTCTACAGGACTCTAACCTTCCTTTTACTGAGTTCTGTGTACAACTAATTAAATCAATCCCTAAACTACTCTGAGATAAATCTCTGAATTTTCCAAAAAAAGTCATGAATTTGAAAAAAATCAAATTTATTCTTTGATCTATCTCTGCTAGAAATAAATTTCACCTCCTCCTAGAACATTAGAATACATGTCTTCTGGCCCAAGATAAAACAAACCTCATACTGAAAGAATAGTTCTGATTATATGTTTATAAAAATCTATAAAACTTAAAAAGAATTTTTGAGCAAACTCTGAACCTAACCAAACTGTGTAAATGCAAGACAAATGTGTGTCAGAGCTGCCTCACTACCCTGTATCTATCTGGAGACAGAATGTTCTGGGACATAAATGGATGCCTTTATTATCAGATAGCTTGAATTGGAGGAAGAAGCTTTTTGATGAATGGTTTCTCAATAAAACTTATTACTTATAGAGAAAACGATTTACTAGGTTCAAACAATTGCAATCAACAAAGCCAAAATCACCCTTAAAATAATCAAATACTTCATACTGTGCAAAGCATTCATAAGGCATCTTATTATATGTCTCTAATTCCCTTTAAAAAGCAAGAGAACGAACCACTCTGAGAGAGGCAATCTAAGAAGCACATAACCTCAGAGGACACGTGCCAAAGATGATTGGAAAAAAACTTTAAAACTAGCATTCTGATTTCTGCTCTACTCCTCCAAACCCAGATTGAATGGTGCTGCTATATTCCAGAGAAAAGGTATTGATGACCCATCTGCAATCTATTTAGAGATAACTGCTTATCTCTAAAGGCTACAGAGTCTGGAGTTGTGGTGGAACATAAAGAATTTAGTTTTTATTCTACTGTCACTGCTATTCCACAAATCTCTAGTGAATGATTACAGACTGCTGGTATAAAGTGTTGGCCTACAAGCACATTTCAATAGTATAAGAATAGTGAAAATGTATGTGAGTTCAAGTAGTGTGTCAGTTTCATTTGCAAATCCATAAAACAATGTAAAAGTGTATAAAGTTCAACTGAGTCAAGGACTAGCTCTCTGAGATGACCTCCCGGGTAAGTGAGTTGAAAAACCAACTACCTTACTGCAGATGGTGAAAAAGAAAGAACAAAGTAATATCCTGCTAGTAACACGTGCCATTAAAACTGTTGTCTGTGTTCATTAAAGCCTGATGATATATGACATGAAAGGACAGATCACAGAACAGGTGACCTTACACAATCATTTGTTTCAATCTACTTTTCATGAAACCAAAAGAGGTTTGGAAACTTACCCTACATTTGATGGAAAGAGGGCAAGGCCAGGTCTCCTATTTGAATCCAGTGTTCCTTTCACTATATCAAAAGGAACTTCGGAGCTAACCGAGGGATTACACATCTACCTACGGAGTGCTATTAGTACAGCCTCTGAGCACACCATGGGGTGGTGGGCAGAACTCTATTCACAGAGAAGTACAGCACCTGCTGCCAGAAAACTCACTGATGGGATTTCCACTCCTATTTCAAATCTACTCTGCCTAAGTCTACTGTAAATAAAAATTTTGTATACAATTCTCTACTAAGTAAAATGGAACCACTACAGTTTTAAATTTAGTTGCTGATTTCATTAGTGAATGCTCACTGGACTGGACTTTCACCAGTTGGCTACAACTGCTGCACTCACAGAAGAGACAGTCAACAGATTCAGTGCTCAGAAAAGCAAAGTCATTTTCTCACAGTACTGTACATCATACTCAGCTTCTGCTCTTAGTGTGTCTGTCTTCTTGAGGAAATGGTATACATATAAATTTGGCATTTAAGTACTTAATTCCAAAATCAAAAACTAACTCCTCTAATATTTCTTCCTCATATTTCCCTAAACGTATTTTTGAGGTATATTACTATGTATTTGCCAATTCCTGACTTATCACTGGCCCAATTGCTTTCAAATGAGTGCCACCCAATAAATATGGATGGAACATTTTCTAATACATGGATACACAAATACACAAAATGGGTGTTTTACAGAAACAGAAAACATTATTTTGCTTCATTGTATAACTACTTTCAGGATACGATATCCTTTTAATTACCCACAGACTCTATTAAAAACATAAAGACAAATAATACTACCAGATTCCTATCTATAACAAAGTATGCTTTTTGTTGTTCTTCTTCAATGCAGTGACCTCAGTTGGTGTGCAAGGACACACACATTTGAATCTGACATCCAATAAGAATATTTTTTCATGAACACAAGGATATTGTTTAGTACAAACACAAAAGTGAAAATTAAACTTTCTTCCCACTATTGTGTTCTGTATAGGGCAGTTCTGTTCTATTTTTCTGAAGAGATCTACTTCAAGGAACAGCACTGTACAGGCAGGCTGTCAGGCACTGCCTGGATGAAGGAGCAGATGCTCTCAGCATTGGTCACACAGTTGGCAGAAGACTCTCTGAAACCACAGCCATCAACATATTAGAAGAAAAAGCAAGCAGCTGATGGGAAGAACCAGCCTCACTGGCCGAGACCACTGGCAGAAGTTTTTCAGATTTTAAAATATGAATCGAACATTTATATTCACCTGAGATTGCAAGCAGCATTTTCCTCCTGGCACCAAAAGTTGTAATTCCCAGTTCTTTCAGATCCTGATCTGTGAGAGTGAGGAATGTCTGAAGATCAATCTGTGGGTAAAAAGACAGTCTTATTTTCATCATCATTGTAAGTCTACCTCATTATTACATGTATTTACTACCTACTGTCTTCTTTCAAAAGCTAATGGTGGTGGCACAAACTTAAAAATGGTGAAGTGAAAGTGGTTATCCTAGCAGAAATAATCCAACCCAATACTTTACTCCAAACTGAGCTAAAAATTTATTCGATTATCCTGGCAGCTTCCAGCAAAAAAAGAAACAAAAATATTATACTATTTTTGAGAACTAATAAAAGGAAGAATAGATATCTTCCCTTGAAACAGAAAAATAGTTTTCAGATTTACATTCTGGATTGGTCCAGTATATCCTTCAAGAAGCAACTACATAATATAACAGATGGTATCTTCCATTGTGTTCTACATGATACTGACACAAGAATTTGCAAAATATATCAAATATAAGGAGTTCACTTGGTTCAATGCACTAGACTATCTCTGAAAATGGAATAATAAATCACTTGGAGTCACACTATATCACACGGTATCAGCAGCAAAGTATGGAGGGAGATAGCCAAGGACCTTACTCTTCCTTTTAAGACAACATGGGTGACTAAAAAGACAAGAATCTTAAATTAGAGACTTGGGTTCAGACCCTGACTTGCCATTACCAGTCAATAACACATAGGATTGAAAATACTATACAGTAAATCCCCAACTTCAACTGCAGCAAAAGTCCCCACGCCCCCCCCCCCCCGCCAGTGTACATCAGTTTCTGTTAGTTGCTCAGGTAACAGTGCCTGCTGTAATTCCTGTTACTTTTGTTTCTTAGAAATGGCTGGTCATTGGGGACTGGGGATATAGCTCAGCGCCTGCCTTGCAAGTGTGTGGTCATGAGTTCAATCCCTAGTACTGATAAAAAAGAAAAAGAAAAAAAAAAAGGCTGGTCACTGTGATGCACAGCCAGTCACTGCCTCCTAGTGGATAAGGGGCCACGGCTGGTCCATCTGACCAACATTCACAGTGGTGAGAGCCCAGACATCTCAGCTCTCTTTCAGTTCAAGAAAGCTCAGACAGTAATTCATAAATAAATGAATATATTAAAATACATTTTTTGAGAACAGACTTTACAATGTGACAAGGAGGGTCAAAAGCAGTCACAGTTACTTAATATGGTGCTATTTACTTTTACAAATCACTAACAAAGACAACAACAGACTCAGACAAAATCCTCTTGAGCTGTACACTTCATGTTCGTTCTAAGGGAGCTGTGAGCTTGCCAAAAGTTCTACGAATCTATACATCAGCTAACAATGGTAAAGAACAGCTATGCTGCATTTCTGCCATATAACTTTCTGTATTTCTGCTATCCTATGTTAACTAACTGCACTAAATAAATGAGAAATGTTTTTCTTAGCAGCAAAAACAAGGTGTGCAACCTGAAAAAATGCTCCATGAAAGCACAGTCATAGATCAATGAATGATTTCCTTCCAGAGGTCATCATACGCATAGCCAAAACAAAGACACTGGGGAAATAATGGCTGACCTCTTGTTGCTGGAAGACATCTGTGTATTTGCCCAGGCCAAGTTTGCTGAAGAGCTCAGGGAGATCAGAGCCTTTGAATGAGCTGTTCAAGTTACAGCCATTGCTTCCTGTCAGCGAGGAAATACAGTCCATATAATTGCTGCTACTGAGATAGTGTTCCGCTGAAAGGTAAAGGAGAGACAGGTTTGAAGTGTAAATGCTCAGACAGAACATGGTTTAATTAAAGTTTGAATCACCTAAATATTTCAGATTTCATTGTTCAGCTGCACAGTGCGGTTACTGCAAAAATACGGCAATCCTTTATTGAAATACTGGCTTTTCATTAAGGAAATGCTGGTTATTACTTTCAGGGGGGCTCTTGCCATTTAAAAGTTACACTTGGGAGGCAAAAATTCAGCAGCAGTGCCTCTGTAGTTAACAATCATTTATCAGCCCCTCCCTGAGAATTCAAAAGCATCTGCTATCTTTAGAAGTGATTTGATGTGAACTAAATGAGGAATTGGAAGGAGGATCTCACAGACATAATGAAGGTATGAAAAGTCATTAGAAATTCAGGGTCCCGTCCAGGGCGGCAGGATGACCGCTCTGCAGCCGCACGTATGCTTTCCTTCCATCATAGGAACTGCATGGTGTGGCAATGTACAAAGCTCAGTCCTAGCAAAATTAATTTGGCCAGCAAGTTCACCAAATAGAGTCCCTCTAAACTTAGGAGTAATATATGAACTCGTAAGAATGATGTTGAAGTTTCCCGATTTAATTTATGATAAAAATGAATCCGTCTCTTGAGGAACATTCTTACACAGCAATGCAGAAGTTTGCCTTGGCTCTGCAACTAATCTGGTGGGCAAGGGTTATACCACACTGTTTTTTCAGGCCAAGGGACAAGCAAGGTTGGGATATGGACCACTGAAGCATGCAAGTATTTCACCAAATACACAAACATATTGCTCTGGAGGATTCAGCAGAGCCATGCAGCTGTTCCTACTTCACTAACAACCAACTGGCCTTGCTTGTGTGGGCAGTCTGTCCTTTTGAACCAAAGATGCAGCTTCAGGAAAGATTCCAAGAGAGGGGGAGGATGAGGAAAGCACTCGCACTCAGCTAAGCCTATCGGATCTACTCTAGGGGTTCATTCATCTGCCAGACCTAAGTATCTTGTTTTGCACTGGTTTTAGGTGCTGTCAACCACTTCCTCCAATTGTTTTCATTTTTCAACTAAGAAGTCCTTTATGTGTCTCCATTAGAAGGAATTTTTCCCGTAAGGTTTTCTTTTTCTCTTAAAAACAGATGTTTTATCTCAACGAGGGAGAATGTTCAAAGCCCTGGGATGATGAGTCCTAAAGACACGGCATCTTTTAAAGGTGAAGTAGAGGCCTCCAAGTTATCAAAAGGATTAGGCAGAAGGATGAGTGAGGCACGGGGTCAACGGTGACACAAAGCAGGGAGCAATGAGCACACCACACCAACCACTAGGCTGCAGGATGCAGACGGCACTGGTAAGCTGGCCATGTAATTGTCCAAATGAGAAACTTATCGTCTTGGAGAAGAAAAGGAGAACTTCTAAAAAGGATATCTGAGCAACTGACAAAACAAGGACACCCAGGGAAAAGCAAAGCAAAGAGACTTGACAACGGTATTAAGAAAAATAATTTAAAACTGTAGGGAGAAGCCACGTGTGGCTACTGAGCACTCCAAGCAGGTCTAATGGGGATTAAACTGTTCTGCTGATATAGAATATCCAAAAAACAATATAAGATAGCTCATTAATTAAAAGAAATACTTTGTATATGTTAGGCTAAGTGAGATGTGCCAGCAAAAATTTAAAGAACAGATGTCTGAAAATATATGCTTAGTGATAAATGTGTTTATGGTGGCCCATGACTTTTCTCATATTTCTATTATAAGGATGGATAGTTTTGTGTTTTCTTTTAAATTTCCCTATTATTTTAAAATATCTGATAAAGATACACAACTGGGCTTCTTTAATTATTCCTTTTTATTAGTGAGTCCCCTATCTTAACCCAAAACAAATTCAATTATGTAGTATAGTCAATTCTAATTATCTAATGTTAAATTAAGAGAGAGAACTAAACATAAAGAAGAAAAGCACAAAACTAACTTAGATTGGGCTATAGCTTGAACATCATTTGTACCCCAACGTCTCTGCCTTGCATCAACCTTTGCCTCTCAGATCAATCACCCTGTGGGGGTAGAGAATCCAGCCAGTTACTAATGGGAGGTCTCCAGACTACTAGTGACTGTAGCTTGGGAATGACTGGGCTTTCTCCTTTAGATTTGGCCAGTATCACAATAGGTCTTTTCAAATCCGAGACTCCTGACAAGTGGCTGGCTTGACTGACAACGGGCTGTTACCAAGTATCAACTGCATTGGCCTAGTCTGCCTTTCTTCAAATACTATTCAAATATTCTACCCTACATGTTTCAGAATCCCAAATTTGACAAAACTCTGAAAAAAGGGATGAAGAGCAAATTTTGTGATGACTACACTGATCCTTATCTGTTTACCTATTTATACAGCCAAGAGGCACAAGTATGTTATACACAAAACACGATGCATCTGCAGTCTCAGGTCTATTTGCACAGACGGAACACATGTTTTAATGTGATTTTTTTTCTGTTTATACTAATGTGGCTACATTTTGTCAGTATATGAAAGTCAAACGTGCTACTCACTATTTTTAGCTACACAGTGTTGTCTTTCTTCAATGGTCCAAGATACTAAGCTGATGATAATTTTATCAATTGCCATGCCCCTGTGTTTTCCTGGTCACTCACTGCAACCTACCTACTAAGGTCAGATATTCTGCTAGGTTTTTGGGGAAAAAAATAAAAAGGCATGGTCTAATAGAATGCCTGACAAAAGTGCATTTAAAAAATGTTTGTTAAATAAATACGATTCCTGCTTTGTGGCACTCAAATTCTATAGTGAGGGAAGACAAACAAAACATCACATTCCAGGATGCTAAGGTGGAAAAATGTACCAAACACAGCGAGCAGGGAGAACTACTTGGCCCACTTCACTGGGAGACAAAGGCCATCATTACAGTGGAGGTGCACATAGATAGACCACATATTTGAAGTCTCAGAACCAAGCTTATAGTTTAACATTACCTCAAACTAACGAACACATTCTGAGCTGACTATATCTAAAGTATGAATAAAAGTCAAAGCTCACTTGATTTGTTTTGTTTACGCTTGGGGCTGCCAATAGAAGCTGCAAATTCACTGGAACTTGTGGTCCCTATTCCATTTCGATCTCTCCAGTTGTCAGATTCACTTCCACTTCCCAAATGCTCACGACTGTTGGACCGTGATAGGGACATTGATGAGCCCTGTAAATAGTCAAAGAAGGAAATGTTTAATGAAGTGGATTTCTCATGGTGGGAGGAGAAATGAATACAAATTACACCATTGCAATACACTTCTACTGTTTCCCACTGCATGTCGAATCTCAGGAAGAGACTGTGTTACCTTCCTATGGCTTTGTCCTTCAACAACCAACAAGATATGATAATATACTCCTGAAGTCTTTTTCCTGTCACCACTGGAACCTGAGTATGAAGGTACCCAACAGGATTCTGAGAGGCCTCCAAATAAAGAATCTTTCCTATAAAATGTGGTAGTAGTGGTTGAAATGTCTTCTATTCTCAGAAATCACAAACCAAAACTTCACCTTGCATAGCAAAGTTTCTTTGCCTAGTTTCATATAGGAGGAGAAATTGGATGAAGTGCAGGAACATCCAATACTCTGAGAAGAATCAAGCACCCAACCTAATTATCACCAACTGGAATCGGATCTGGAATTTCCTGTGTTTATCTCCTCCATATAATTACACAATCTAACAAATGAAAAATACTAGAATAGTTTATCTCAGATTCTCCAAAATTAAAATGTCAATAAAAATAGCAAACATTCCAGAGTTTGCACTAAATTTGCATATATTATGTATTAAATTTATTTAATCAATATATTACATGTACCCTACTTTGTATTCTTTGTATCTTCAATATCAAGATTCAAGGATTTTCAAAGATTTATGTTCATTGGGAGCTTCAAAGAGAACCTCATGCTGTTCATTTTTTTTTATTTTAAAGAGAATAAAAAAAAAAACAGAATAAAGCAAATCAGAACAAAACAATGTAAGCAATATAGTATATCAAAACAAGAAATAACAATGGCTACCATAATGTCTCTCATTGTCTTCAAAATAGCTGCCTGTACCTTCACACATAATAAAATAAAATAAAAAAAAACAGAAAAAAACCAATCAAAGCAAAACAATTAAAGCATTACAGGGCTTCAAGACAAGACAGGAGGAGATCAACAATGGCTACTATAATGTCTCTCATTTTCTTCAAAATAGCTGTCTATATCTTCACACATAATCAAATCAAATCAAGTCAAACAGAACTTAATTCCATTTTGCCACAGCATAACCGTGGCTGACTATAGCCTCCTTTACACATTTCTTTCTGTGGTACCATCACACCCCAGCACGCAGGCTTTCCATCTACCTCACTGTATCCTTTATAGGTTCCTCGTCTTTTCCATTCTAAATGGAATTAGCTGGATCTCGGTTTTGTAGGACACCTTTTCTTCTCTCTCTACACTTTTTCATCATATAATCCCAAACTTCTTTCAAAATTTAGTGAGCACAGTGACTCCCAAATTTCTATCTTCAAATATCTTCTCTTTTGAAATTTAAAATCAGAGCTGCTGATCTGACACCTCAATCAGGCAGTCTAGTGAGTGCTTCAACCTTTGCACATTTCAAACCATGTCACTATCACTCATCTTTACCAGCTACCCAAACCTTTTCCTTACTTAGGAACATCTGTATCCCAGCAAGTTACACTTCCACTCATCCATTTTTCTAGTTCACATTTGAAGGTTCATTCATGATTCCTCCATCTCTCAACACCTCAACTCCATTAGTGGGGTCTGTCAGTATCTTTAAGTGTGTCTTGAATCTGCCTCGCTCTGTACATCTCCACAGCTGACACCTTAATGGCCATCTGATAACACTCTCACTGCTCCTGTCCCATCATCCCTTGTATACAAGACAAGACTGAGATTTTAAAGATGAAAATTAGAACAAATCATGCCTCTGTGTAAAGTCTGACAGTCTGTTTACACTGTACTTTGCCAGGGGCAGAGGCTTCATAATAAGCTCCTCAATTTCCATTGTATGTTAGCATGGGCTGAGGTATCCCAGAAATGGCCTCTCTCCCACCTTACCTCTAATGCTCCTCTAACCTATTTACTTTCTGTTTTGAGAACTCACAGCTAGTTCCCAGTCCTGTATATCTACAGCAAAGAACTTTGTCTGAAATATAGAAGATGATTAATATCTTTTGCAAAGATTGAATCACATAATGATAACCTTTCTGATATCTGTAAGATGTCTTTGATGACTTTTGGAAAGGGATACAGGAAAATGAAGGCTTCTTAGACCCAGAAATGAATTTTCCCAATGAAAGTATCTTTAATACTATACCTCAACAAAGATAAACCAAATACAACAAGAAAAATAAGAAACATGCTCAAGTCATGGTACTCACCAGAAGCATTAATGAGTTGCTACATGTTATGTAAGCATGCAAAGTTTGAACATCTTATTAGACTGCATGACAGAGGTATCAGATTGGTGGCTCTGATTTTAAGCTTCAATAGAGGAGACATACAAATTTGGAAGTCACTGTTCTCACTAAGCTTTAAAAAAGCATATAGCACATGGTATATAACTACACACCCCCACTACTCTAAAATCTACACCGATTTCACTTAGCTGTAACAGACCTACTAAACAGGTATTTTCTGGAAACATTAAGTAAAAAATAACCTTGTGGTGCATATTAACTAAGAAAGAGTTCACCTCTACTCTTCAATGATTTATAAAATTTTTATAATCAAAACTTTCATCACTTGGTACTGGGTAGTTGAGAACCACTTTTGATTTCCTATGCCATTTTTGCTTTAGAAAATATGTGACCATTACTTATGATTTTAGATATGGGTGGTTTAAAAAGGGCAGCAGGAGAGGGAGGCTGGAAATCCCAAGCCTCTTTGTATCACTGATGATGGGAAAGAGATGATTCAGGCAGAAGCAGCTTGACTTTTGGTGTCCCAATATAACATCAAGTGGAAACAATCACACTTTCGCATCTTTGAGCAAAAAAAAAAAAAAAAGTTTGAAAGTGTCTGATTTTTATCTAAAGAAGCTCTCTTGTATGGGCTAATTTCTTATAGCTGTCCAACAACTGGAAAAAACTGTTCAAGACTTGCTTCTCAATAATAATGAATAGAGGGCCCAAAGTATCAAATTCTTGCCTCAAGGAAACTTCCCAGATCAGGAAACCCTTGGTCCCTGGCACAATGTGCGAACAGTGCTCTGTCATCAGAATCTGCTGTCCAAATATGCTGCCACTTTGGGAGCATTATTCTTCTACTTGCTGACTGAGTTTTGGTTTTCCTTGCAGAAAGAGTAAGGAAAAGGAGTGTGAAGGTGTTTACAGTCACTCTACCATGTAAACACCTCGTGCTATAAACATGTTGTCTGTATTGTAATAAAAATATTCTTCTCCACTGTTCTCCAGATTTTGGTTCACTTTGTAATTCATAGATGTAATCAGCATTGACTGCTGTTTTCTGAGCTGCAGGAGGAAAAAGGGCACGGTGTCCACATGCAGGAAGTAACTGCTGCAAAGAGTCAGGTCATGCTACGCAAGGGGCTTTTCTCTCCATTTCAGTAAATCTGGAATGCCTGTGGAAAAGTTCAAGTCCCAGACAGAACTGAGAGTACCAATCCTTAAGTAAGCGCCTATCTTTTCTTCAGCATCATTTTAAGGTCATACCTGTCCTCCCTATGACTCCCCAACTTTCAGCGAGTGGCCTATGAAATACCAGCCAGGATGGTAGAGCCATCCAAAGACATCCAAGGTAGCCCAAGTCATCCAAAGAAAGGAATTCATCCACTTAGTCATTTCTGGTACATTTCTGCCATAGAAAGTAGTCTATTTGACCTTGGTCATCAGCTGGAGCAGAAGACTGTTTTGAATTCCCATGCGATTCCCCTCCTTAGTGCCCTGTCCCTTTATAGCAGTATTTCCTAAGAGCTGCCCACTTCAGGTCAGCATTATCCTGATTCTGCCCTTACTCCCTCACTGCTAAGTGAGAACCTGAAGGAAGTATCTGCATTTTTATCAAGAGCTCTAAATGACTTTAAAACAATTTTTATTAGTGCATATTAATTATATGGAATGTTTTGTTTCACTTAAATACACATATAACATACTTTAGTCATATTCACTTTCCTTTACCTTCTTTCTCCTCCTCCTCTAATCCCCTTCCTCTTCTCAGCCTCCTCTGAAAATGATTCTTAGGCTACAAAAGTATGTTGCTTGTAAAAATATGGTAACATGGTTCTAGATCAGAGTGAATCATGAAGAAGTATAGAAGGAAATTCTGTAAAATGAACTCAAGCTCTCTTTGACCATCACCTTGAGGAGTACTCTTATCTATCCTAGCCCCATCTTTCCTCAGTTGGAGCTTATGGGGGACTGAATAAGCTTATAGTTAAAATATCTTATAAATCACAAAGAATTAAATGAATGTGATTGAAGATAATTGTTGTTAATACACTATATGCTTGTATATACTCTGACATATCCCTTTGGGTAGAAAAAGCATACCTTGTACATGCAGTTACTTCCACCAATAAGCAGTCATACATACAATCTCATCCTTTAGCAGGCTCTCAGTTTTCTCCAGTGGGAACAGTAACAGCTGCTTGATATAACTAAGAATTTACTGTGCACCACGCTAAATACCACACACCCTCTCCAGTGTCTTCCTCAGTACAATCCAAATGAGAGAACAGGCTTAGGGGAGTAAGATCACTCACCAAAGCTCCCTATCTCCTTGGGAGATATGAGACCCCACAGCCCACGGGCTTGATCACTAAGTTACTAAAATGATCATCACTTTCAACTTGATATACTGTCCATCTTAGAAAAGAGAACTCAATGTGTATTTCTAGAATCAAAAATTCTTACACACTATAGAAACACAATCAATAACCTAACACTTCACTTTGCCAAAAGCCAGGGTGAGTGAAGCAGGGTGGTGATAGGAGTGTTGGATCAAAGTCCAGGAATCAGCACAGTAGTTCTCAGGTTTTGGCTAACAAAGGAGATGTTTATGTTCCCTCCGGGCTCTAATGGCAGGAGGGCAAATGTACCTCCTACTGCCTCAAAAATTTTCATAATGTTTCCCACATTCTTGCTGCAGAAGGTCGGTTCAGTTTTTAAATATAACTAGCCACTCTGACCTGAAAGTCATCAAAAGACTATTCTTCTTAGCACTTCTATAGTATTTTCTTCTTCACTTCCTTAAAAAGACAAAGGAGGAAAATCTCAGCATGTTTGCTCTTGCCTTTCATCAACAGTCTAATTCATTACTATGAAAATGGGTGGAGAAAAGGTCATTCTACAAGTGCTAGTTATTAGACTAACAATTATGAAACCCTTATCCAGTATTTGTTTTTCAAGCTAAAGTGCTCTGGTTGAACACCATGCTGCCTGCATTAACCATTTCCAGACACATTTGATTTGCGTAGTCTCCCAGCATTGCGTGCCGTGCAGGCTCACCCTCCAGCCCCACCTCAGCTCCCTGAGGCTCAGAGCCCAGACTTGACACTATCAAATGGAAAACGCCTGCTCAGTGAGTCACCAGTAGCCTGGCTGAGGAGTGTGGGACTCTGGGTCCCTCCTCCATGGGCTACTATGCCAGCTTTCCAGTCTCACTCTGTGCACTTAGCCAACATCTGGGAAATATAAAAATTTTGGAGCTCTTGTTTGAGATACTTCCTACTGTGTTCTTGGCACATCTGAATCCACTGAATTTTTAACTCATATCTGAAAATCTGTTTTTGTTGAATACTTGCCTTTTGTCCCTACGGTGGCCTTGTGAGTGATGTCCTCAAACAAAAGAACCCTTTGTATATTTTTATGGAATATTACATCTGTTCTTTGCTTACTCTTAGTCCTATTCTGTCTTTAATGATAACCCCCCACCCCAACAGACATCCAAATTTACATCTCCTTAACAGCTTGGAAAGAGATACATTAAAAAGTCTAAAATAAAGGATTGCATCAGCTTTATAACAGAAAGTTAACAATGACAGAAACAGAAATGAATCACCACTCATCATTCCTTATGGCTATAAAGAAAGTTGAGAGAGATGACTTACTCTTTTACTGAGAGAACAAAAAGGAAAACTGGGCAAAGCATCTACAAACCTCGTATGTAGTTGTCATGGTGGGTTTATAGGATACGTGATTGGCCCTTCTCAGCTCCTTGATGGTTTCAGCTGGCATGGACTTAGAAAACCCCAGGCCACTCCAGGTATTTGTAGGTGTTCTGACCTCTGTCACCACTGGTTTCTTTAACATAGCTTTGGAAATGAGAATATAAAACAAATTCTTGGTATGTTTAACATTTCTTAGATAAAATATTAAAGATGTGGATGATTTCTTTGATATATGTGAAGAATTATTTCTTCATACAAAACAGCTAAAATACCTTCATAAAACATTGTACACAAAGAAATGAAAATGAAAAAAACGCTACATAATTTAATATAGTCAACAAATTAAATTCAACCTCAATAGAATTTGTGTAACGTGAAGTCAAATGTTTTTATTCTCTTCTTATAAGCACCCAATTTCTCAATTCTTCATGAATACCAAAAGAATATTTCTGAATGCACTGAAAAACAATCAAATTTTACATCATCAGAGGTCATATACCTTTGGTTGCTAATAGCTTCTTTTGTTCATAGTCAAATGCCTGAAAATGAAACAGAGAAAATGTCCTTATTGCCAGTCTCTTCAAATATCCTGCCAATATCTGATGGGTGGAGAACAAAGGTCCTGACTATGGTCCATGAATCTGTCTGAGACATATGCTAAGCTTTGCACTGTGATATGACAGAAATCCAATGCAAGCATGAGAAATTTAAACATGACTGCAAAACCAATTAATTAGAATAATTACTATTTCTGAGTAGAAATCATGAAAGTCGTAAGAGTTAGAATTTTTCTTTTAAAAAGAATAAAAAATTCGTATTTACAGTACTAAGAATAGTTAGCATACCAGCGTTCCTATATGCTAAATTATAATGAATGACCCATAATGTTTATGTTATACACATTACTAAAATACAGTCTAGTATCTACTGTCCTACTTTTTGTCTCAAAATCCCCTCTTCAGATAGGTAAGCAAGATCTGAAGTGGTATGATCTCAAGATAACTTAAGAAGTTATTAGAATAATTGGCATAGTCTTTGCTTTTCATGTGAGATAAACAAATTGTCTGGCTTTACTCTATAACATTAAAAAATATAATAGAATTAAACTGCATTATCTTTTATTGTACAGGACTAGGATGATATTATGCATTCATTCCATTAACACTGAATAAGTAACTATGATTCAGTGAGGCCTGTGCAGGAGCAAATCTTTCTGAAGAAAGTAATGTAAATACAGCTACATCTTGGATGCCAACCTAATTCTCTCAACTCTCCCGCTATGGAACTAGCTAACGGATTTAAGATTGCCTCAAAGCCCTCCCAGGAAGGTTAAAAATCAATTAGCAAGGGCTCTCTACTCTTCCCCTAGAAGTCTATACCATGGAGTGCACGGTGCTCACAGAATATACGGTCTAATGTAGAACACTTTTGTGACTAATGATTAGCCTGAGATGATAAAAAGCAAGCAGAGGCTACCCCAGACAAGCTAGCAGAGGTGCTCTAATGAAAGACACAACAGTAAACCAGGAGATAACGTCAGTTGTTTAGATAGTGATGTTGATGTTTTTTGAAATCCTAGGTCCAAAATGTCACTGAAATTTAAAGTTCAACTTTTAATTACCAACGTACAAGGGCTAACTGTAGAGAAAGAGCTAAATTCATCTCTTCAATAAGTATGTACTGAGTGCCTAGTGGTTAGAAAACTGCTGAGTTATGTGAAAGAATATGGTAATGAATCAAAAACAATTTATGGGGGCTGGGGATTTAGCTCAGCGGCATAAGCACCTGCCTTGATCCCTGGTACTCAATGACTTTCAGTCCTAGGAATGCATAAGGAAAGAACTAAAATAAATTAGGAAGTGACAGAAGTGTGAAAAGAGAGATAAGAGATATGGTCCCCACCAGCAGGCAGGAGACAGATTCCACTTTCTGTCACAGAAGTCTGGGAAATAGCCATTTTGTCTTCAGTGAATGCTCTGTGACTATTATCATTGATTTTTCAGTGATTTTAAGAGCCAGCCATTTACTAAGGGCACAGGCACATGCATGCTATGTAAGTGCTAACAATATATTGAGAACACTCTCATCGACCCTAAAAGAAAGACATGAATCGACTCACTGAAAGCAAGAATCGGACAGAAAAGAAAAACCACAAGAGAACAAAATCTACAGCTAGGTCTTAAATCAGAGAATTTCAATTTATATCAACTGAAAGTAAACTCACCAGAGTAAATGATGTAAATGCCTTTTTTAAAACACTGTTACATTATAAAGGATATGACTTTAAATTTAATGAATCACCTAAAAACTCATTAAAATGTTCAGATGCAATGATTAAAAAAAGATGAGGGAGACGGAATTGTAGTTCACACTGGAAAAAGAATAGTACAATTTATTTCCATAAACTAATTTCTTTGACCTACCTATGACACATTTTGTTTTGTTTTCAGGATTTTGTGAAAAGTTTTTCCTGTTTTTTGCAGGTGGGAGGATGAGGAAGATAAATCCCTTACTATCATGTAGATAAGTCTATCTAGGACTTTCGGTCATGAAAATTAAAATATTTTATGAATTTCTAAAAGCACAAATTCACTGTCTTCCATATGATGATCCATATGAAAATAATATTTCTTCATTTCATGATTAGCAACTTACTTTGAGTAATTAATCTAATATTTTGAAAATGAGTATGTCAGCCCTGTTAAGGGCAGTGTCTAAAATCAGTACGCATTAAGTATATTCAGCATCTACTTTTAAAAAATTAAAACTTTGCATTAATTTTCATAACCAACACAAAATGAAAGCAAAGGAATTTAACAACTCCTTTCACAGACAGAATAATGTTGCATCTATGTATCCAAGATGATGCCATGATGGAGTATTATTTAGGAATTTAGTCTCTTATATTTATCTAAAATGTTTTCAAGTAATAGTTGAACATGGTATATGCATAATAACAAAGTGACACAAAGCACGTCATATCATTTTTACTATTAATTTGTTTAAAAATTCAACCCCTTAAGCTTAAATTTTACATTTCATTCACTGGGCCACAGCACAGAAGGAAAAGCTCTTTTCTATACTACTGCTGAACCTCACTGAATTCTTCACACCTAACCCCAGCACCCTGCACTTGAATGGCTTTCCTATTTTATTTCTGTTACCTGCATGTTGACATACGATGGTCGTGGGCCAAGGCGGGCCCTTTCAGAGTTCTGCTGGGCCGCTGCCGCCCTCTCCGCAGCGCGCTCACTCCCTGGAGCCTTCTTGTCAGCCAGCGGGCTTTCTGCAGCACTCAGTTCAGGGTCTGAGAGCAACCTGTCAGTGCTGCTGTGAAATAGAGACTGGAATTTAGCATTCCACTATATATACAAAGGAACTAAATGTTTCCTATGTGCCACATTTACTTTGCATGCTCACCATCATGAACTATTTATGTGTCTTATCTCATTTAGTCTTCACAGCCACGCTATGACATAAGTACCACTGTGCCCATCTGACAGATGAGGGAAGTACCCTACCCAAGCCAACTTCTAATGTAAGTGGTAAAGGTGCCTCTGAAGTCAGGCACTCAGAATCCAGGACCAGAGCCTGAAATCATTTCATGATACACACTCATGTACATTATACAGAATATGCTGCATACAGTATAGAAATAATAGATGTCCAGACAAGATTTCAAATTTTCATACATCCATGAAATATCAATGATGTGGGCATATAAAGTCTAAAGAGAATTTGAGTAAATCTGAAGGCATACAAATTATTCAATTCTCATGTGTGAGATGCATATAATATAACAAAGGCAGGAAATAAATAAGAAATACTCTCCAAACTCATTTAGAGGGATGGGCAGAGCATGAAAGTGATTCTTATAATGAACAGCATACCGGCATTACAACCCATGATATATGCAGGACACATGCACTTCAAGTTCAAATCCAATTCCATCATTAGGCTCAAATAAAATAGGAATATATAGTATCAGTCAAAGAGCTGTGTTATTCATTTGTTTGTAGTTGTATTCACTGAACTATTCAGTGGTTGTGCCAGAGGAATTTAAAGGAGTTCAGAAAGAACAGTCGGAATACAAAAGTACGAGCAGTGAATTCTGCTTGAGGAAAGCTGGCAGTCTTCAAAGGAGATTTGAATAGGGAATTACGGGGCATCGCAAGGGCACCAAAGGCCAGGAGATGGACAGCTGGAGTGAAGAGCATAAGGCAAGGAAGCAGGCAATACAGGCCCTTGGTGCTTGCTAACCAGAATGTGACCAGATCAAACTCCAGCTTTCAAAAAATTACTAGAGGAAAAAAAGAGAGAGGGAGCCACAGCTGAAGAGAGCCTCATGGCAGGACATTGCTCTGCAGGTGGGAGACAGATAAAGGGCCAGAACAAGCTCAAGAATGAATGAAAAGAGTGTGTGTGTCGAGTGGTTCAACAGATGGAAAAAAGCAAAGGCATGTTTCCAATTTGTAATACAGAATGTTAATTTGGGGTATCATCTCCATGTGAACAAAAACAGATAAAGCAGAACTGAACAAGATCAGGGTTTGTAAAGCAAATTGTTTTTAGTATACCAGAAGAGGGAATACTACATATACTAATTTGTGCATCTGGTATTCTGGAAGGAGACAGAGAGAATCCTAACAGAGTAGAGGAAAACAAGTGGATGGGTTGGATAGAAGCAAAACCTTTCATCACAGAGCAAAAGAAAGGAATCAGACTGAAGGAGGCAAAAGAGTAAGGAGGACACACTGGAGACCGTGCTATGGTATGGGAGTTCTAGCTATCAAACTTCATGTATTTATACGCAATGCAATTTGAAATAAATAAAAGAATGATCCTGTCAAGCATTTATTAAATGTTTACGATTATCTACCTTAAAAAAAAAGGAGCAATAGCTTAAGAAAAATTCGAAGTCAAATGAAAGACAGTTCACAGTGGGAAAATTTCTAGCAGCAAAAAAAAAAAAAAAAAAACAGAAATAAAATTGTCCCTGCTGATTACCAAAGAGAAGACAGAATGTTAATTTCAGAGTAATACAAATGGTTTAGAAGATACAGATAAACAAACCCAACAAAAATGGGGAGAGATTATAAAAAATCTAGGCAAGGGTGAAAATTACCAGACGTAATTTCTCTTTTTTAAAAAATGAAAGATAATCATGAAGAGAAGTGGAAAAGTCTACAGATGAGCTCTAGGCCCTACGCTAAAGAGTGCTAAATGAATTTAGAATGAACTTGGCCTGTTACACATTTCCTTTTAAACAATCGAGGGCTTTTAGTATTAAAATACATACTGTAAGTGTGAGTTTTTTGTGCCTTGCAACAGCTCTACTGTCTGCCTCTTGGCACAGGAGACTTTGGTGGGACCCAGCATCTGTTTCAAGTCAGCAGCATTTCCAGAATGGGAAGGACTTCGAGGCATGCCTACCTCAACAAAAGCATCGTTACACCCTGAAGGGAGAAGAAGAGTGTGTGTGTGTGTGTATGTGGTATAAACAACACATCTCTCAGTCGACAATTATCTGTAACGGAAAACAAAAACAACAACAACAACAAGGAAAACAGAACCCAGCTCTGCAGAGACATTATCAGCCAAACCCAGGAATAATAGCATTTAGTTGTGAACAAATGCAGGCCAGAAACAAGCTCAAGTTGAAGAGAAGACCCTCAAATTTTTTAATAATAAAGAGTGTTAGATATAAAGGAGATCAAAGAATATACACAAGGCAGAAAGGAAAAGACTAGGTATATATTTTAAATATATTTATATAAAAATGCTTTAGGAAGGTCCAACGTGATGGGAAAGTAATTTTTCACTATGCTCTTTGTGATTTCATTCAAGATACTGTCTTTCCACACAGTTGAGGTAGGATGAGTGACAGCTGGTTAGTAACACCAACTCAACATCCCCATGCCAACTCTCCACAACCCCCTTTATCTAGGTAACACACCAGACTGACATGCAGGCAAAGTTATCGCTCCTGACCTTCTGCAGGGCTGGATTTGGGAGAAGCCTGCTCTGACCCAGTCGTCTGGATGGATGGATCACCGTGATTTGTACCTAGCACTTTTTCTCCAAGGGATGTTGTGGATATTCCACCATATTTTATATTTGGAGACTAAAACAATAAAAGATAACATACAGTTATGGTCATAATTTGACAATTTAAGATTTATTTCCAGTAAAGACTGAAACATGTTACAAGTGACTTCTCTCTCACCAACATTGTGGATCAGATCATTCTAGCAGAGGAGCATTACCTGTGCGTGTCCATTTAAAGAAACAGAGATTTTTTTGCCTTCTGTTTGCATACTGTTGATATGGACATCAACAGGAGTCAAACCAGGAGGGGGAGATGGTGCTGTGTGCCCATAGGTGGGCACACCAGACAACAAAATATTGGTTAATGTGGCTTGGGCGGTAGATGGAATCATAAGGTGTGGAATAGCAGAAAAACCTGTGGAAACAGTTCATGAAGACAGATATTAGGAAACTCTTAGCATCAACGACTTATTACTAATAACAATAAAAACAGTTTTATGGTTGCAAATTCAGAAGAAAATTCTATTTTAGTATCTCTAGGTTTAACATTTCTACAAGACCATAAATGAATGTTAAAATGAAGACAAACCTTAAAGAATAGTTAATATTTAATAAGGTGCCTCCCTGAAGATGAAGAAATGAGCTGCATTTCATGTGACTACCAAGCAAGCAGAGTCTATGTTTCCTAATTCTCAGGTCCTTAACCTTCACAAGCCTTTGCCACTGCTCCTGTAGGCTGCACTCTTCCTAATTTATTATCACACTTGAGATTGTATATAATGTGTGTGAAAAACCCATTGCTTTAATTAATTTACACATTGAGGAACTTCTGTTTGGTTGGAGTATGCTTTGAGCCAAAATTTTTCCCTAAGGAAATTGAATCATTTATAAATTTTAAAAAACAGTAATATCTAAGAATATATGCCTTTGATTATAATTAAATGGTACTGACCTGTGGCACTTGAAGTATTAGCAAGTGGTGGTGCCCATAAGGTGGGGCTGGGGGTTCCAGAGCTTGGACTTTGCAGAGGACTGACTGAGCTATTCAGAGCATTTAAGAGTGAGTTTGGGGTTGCTGATGTGTTCAGTGATAAGGTGGTGGGCCCCAAGAGACCTGCAGTAAAGGAATGTGAAGTCAATACACACAAACTCAAGATTTTAAAATAAAGGTGGCACCAATATGGCCAGCTGGAATGCATATCAATATAATCTGGAATTTTTAAATTATAAAATATGGGTGGAAGGTTTTCTTTCATATATTCACATGAAACATTTCTTTATATACCTCCAACTCAGGAAGCAGCTTACCCACAAATAGATGCTATCTGAAAAGGAAGGACAGATGTACCCAACCCAGGAGAGCAGCGGGAGTACCTGAGCACCACCAGGTTCTTTACATTCACATCAACTACTCAGATGACAAAATTCTGCTCAAGAAACACACTCATTTTTTTCTGCTAACTTCTCATCTGTTTCCAAACAAACGATTTTCAAACCACTGACATTTAGTGGTGACTAGGGAATGTTTGCCTGTGAGAGAGTAGAATTGACACGGCCCCTTTGTAGTCAGGCAGAGCTACCTGAAGTGGTTTTTATATGTCAGAAGCCACATGCAAATTATTTTGGCTTCTTCCCATTAATGAAACTTCCCTGAGAAAAATTATCCATCGCTGGTTTCTTTGTTTGTTTTCTAGCTTGAAGAATTCAATGCTTGATTTAAATAATGAAAATTCTCTCAGCATTTAAATATGTTCTAAGATAAAATGTGTATTTGTACACATGTCTCCAGGAATACACATAAAATATTCAGTATTACAGGATAGGTACAGTCAAGAAAACATTTTTAAAATTCAGTTGTTCTGCATCTTTGCTTGTGTTTTTTCTCATTTGTGCAAGACAAATTAGACTTCTGCTAAATGACTTGATTGGCATCTCCTGGCTCACAGGCACCGTAATCTTATTATGACTCTTCCATTCCCTTGGATGGGGAATCTTTGGCAGATTAGGGACTAAGAAAAAAAATTCTTCTTTATTAGAACAGTATGCTTATTGGAGTCTTAATCTTGCTATAACCATATCACATTTTTAAAAGCAAAATCAGGAATTAGAAAAAACAAATTCTAAAGAGTGCTCTGTGTATTTTTTTTTTTTTATCTCAAATCAGCACTGTGAGAAAGAGTAATTTGCCTGGATTATTGCATGAGCTTTTTACATAAAGGTAGCTGTGAAATGTGCAAGAAAGTGGTGAACCTGGTCTAACTGTAATGGAGCAGCTAACTCCAGCCTGTGAAGTGGCAGACCTGTGATGAGGTTCTGACATCATCCTGATGAATGGCGGCTCACACTGCTTTCTTAACAAGCTAACGCCTGAAGACGAAATCACTCCTTTGTTTTCTGTTCCTTGCTTTAGATATGAATACAGGTTCATTTGCTTTCCTTGGTGGCTAAAGGCCAGGCTTCCTTTGCATCGGGGCTTGGCAAGCCTAAATGCTGGGGGTGGTGTTCTGATTGTTTTCCCTCTTCCTCTCCCCACCCCTCACACAGATTTGCAATTACTTTTTGAAAGTAAACTGGATAATCTTTATCTCTAGGGACTGATGGCAATATTGCAAATGCAAGAGAGAACAAACACATAAATTACAGTCAGCCTGCTCACTTCAACCTCAATGGCATTCTTAATTTAGAAGAACAAACACAGCCAATGAAAATAAAACAGCCAGACCTTGATTTTTTATGTCAACATAGGAAGAATCTGGGTAACCAAAATCTACAAAGCTTAACAAAAAGGAAAAAAATCAGAAGAAGAATACATAGATTAAAATTTTGTTGTTTTTTACCTGATCTCAAGGATTTGAAGAAAAAGTTAAAAAAAACAGAATTTAAATGTAGACCCAAATGGTAGAAAGAAAGGTAACAGGGGACCAGATAAACATTTCCCAGTGACTGAGAAGCACTGTAATAATAAATTTTATACCTAGTCCAGTGAGTCCGAGGCCTGCAGAAGCTAAGATATCCAGGCTGGGACATGCCAGGCCAGCAGGGCATGATGCTGGGGATGGACTGGTTGCTATGGCAACCCCACTGCTTTCAAGTCCGAGGAGACATTTCCTTGCTTCATACATATTTAAGGCATTTCGCTCAACACTTTTCACAATCACAGACTATGAAAACACATAATGGGAAAAGAAAAAGTGACATGCAAGTAGTCTACAATGAACAGTGGGGAAGAAGGTGGGTGGAAAATGAAAATGCTAATAAGAATGCCACTCAGGGGATACATTAACGCTGCTTTAAAATAAGCTGCAAATTCTAACCACTCATTTCTTAGATTCACCCCTTCTGGTAAAACTGCAAAATATTTGTCACCATTTATTACATGTGTCTTGTGTTTCATGCATCAGGATGGAAACTGCCTGAATGTCTCAATTCTCACCAAAAACATGTGGAATGGGAGTCACTATTTATATTCAGGAAGCTAAGAGATTTAGTCAAGGTCTCCATACACCTGTAGGGAGGCCAGGACTCGGGTCTCTTGGCAGCTCTTGTCTTTACTTTAACTCCCCACTTCACAAATTAAACTTGTTATTGTAATTCAGATGACACAGTAACAGTCACTTACCACCTACATTTGACATTTATGGCCTACTAGCTAATAGTTTTTAAGGTACCTCTATTTTTCATTGATGGTATAGCTAAGCAAAGCTTAGGGCTTAAAAAAATCCAAATAAATCTTTGATCCCTGCGATGCACTAATATAGTAAATTGAAAGCAGGAACACAAGGGGCTATGCTTTCAATGGATAGTAAAGAAAATTGTGCTGCAAAGCCAGCTGAAGAGTAGTCACAGTCAGGCCAGCTAGGAACATTGTATGGGTTCAGAGTTCTCACCTAAAATTTGTCCCTGACATCTGCTATTTCTACTGAGCTAGAATTTTCTTGTCCTTGTCTATTTTTTTTCTTTTTTGTACCAGGGATCAAACTCATGACCTTGCACTTGCTAGGTAGGAGCTTATACCACTGAGCTAAAAACCCTGCCTGCCCTTGTCTATTTTTATATGGATAAATATTCAAATACTTCTTCTGCCTTCTTCATTTAGTGCTGGTATCTATAGATTAACCAAGTACAAAGCTTCATGACGCATTCTGCTCTCTAACTTTAAACTCACTATATCAAGTTCACAGAAATAGTACTATATTTCTTTTAAGTCTTTAAGAAAGTTTGTTTTTCTACAGGTGGATACTAAATATATTATTTACACATATATAATATATATAAAATACATATCACAATAAGCTATTATATAGGATATATAACAGCTTTATAGTTTAGAAATTTAAAAAAATGGAAGTCACAACTGTTTACCAAGTACATTGGAGATTTCAATTTAGTTCAGAAATGTTTTTCTCCTAAATTCTCCACAAACTTAACACAGTCACATTTTATAAATTTTTGTATCTTAAAGTATTTTTTTTTTCAACATAGAAAACTAAGATTAATACAGCATCCATGTATTTAGCACCTGGAATAAGGATTGATTTTTAATTTTTGAGTTTTACTGAAGAAATTGAACATGCCCTTCATTTACTTTCTAAGTCTATTTTCCCTCCTCCTGGGATTTCATGTGGACCCTTACATATAAATGTGTATATGTGTATATATACATATATATACACATACACACATACATATACATAAATGCTACTACCATTTAATAGATGCTATCATGCAGTTTGATTTTTCCATGCAGCACCGTTCTTGCTGCTTCATTTCTGGTGTGAAGGTATCTTCAATGTGTACAGAAGCAGAATGGCTGCATGTAGGGAATCAGTATTTTCAGTGAAATCAGATAATCCCAAATTGCTCTTCAAAGGGGCTATGCCAATTTTTACAATGTTTATTTGGGAAGATTCCTTTTCCCTCACATTCTCACCAGCACTTAATAGTATCAGATTTATACCACTGATTTTTCTACAATACATGTAATTACTGAAATTTTGTAACATCTCAGAGGAGAAGTTCGAAGAGAGTGTTGTCTTTCTGAAAAAGAATGAGCAACTGCTATTTAAATCCTCAGGTGACCACAGTGGCTAGGATATAGTAAGTACTTTAAGTATAGTTTGGATTGCACTGGCTATGTACACACACATATACATAGTATATAAGATAACTCTATCAACACTCTGGTAACAACAACAACAAAAAACTTAATGTTAGCAATCTTCAAATTAAAGGATAAAGGCTTACTCTGCCTTTTGAATGTATCTATAGAACAATGACAGTTACTAAAAAATAAACTCCAAAACCAACGAATATATGAAGAAAATGACCAAATGAATGCTGTTAAAAAAGCATACTGATATAATTAAATGACATTATATATTAGAGTATGAGTTCCATGCACATGCAAACACTATATGCAAAATAAAACTGCACAGAGTATGCACGATACATAACTCTCTGGATCCACACTGAACCAACCTTGCTGGGCTGTTTTGGCTTTGGTTTAATACTGATGAAGACATCCAACTGTTCCATCAACTGAGCAATGAATTGTGGATCTACTTCAATTTCTTCCTTCATATCAAACATCAACACAAGAGGAAGACAACCCTAGAAAATGTCACGATAGATCACACAGGATTTAATCATTTCAAGACCTGCTAATTGAACACACTTAGAAATAATGCAATATTTAACAGATTTATAGAGCCAAACAAAGTATTAAAGCCAAGTAACCTATCTTCACATAGCTTGAAGGGCTGACATAGAAATAATGTTGAAGAAGAAATTATATCCCTTAAGTTTCTGGTTTGGGACCTGTATTTTCTTTTACTCACTCTCCATCTTGGAAAATTCCTTCCTTCTTTGACTTCGGTTTTATGGGTGATAATAGAGATGAGATTCTCAGTCACATCAAGAGGAATGATATTGTTCTCTTGCACAAAGACTTACATTTAAAGCACATTTTTAAAAAAACCCAAACTCATTTTGGCCCAGGCTTGCTTGTCCCACACAGATCTGCTTGTCTGCACGCCTACCCCTTCCAGGGCAGGTAGTTTTTTGTTATCTTTTAAATGGATCCTGTACTTGTCTCTGCTTATCAGAGGCCTCCTCACCAATCTAAGTCCCACTTCCCTGCTGATGCAGCTCAGGCCACATCTCCTCCTGGAAGTGATATGTTGCTATGTCCCTTCCTTTGCCTGCCCTCGTCAGCACTGCAGTTTAGTTTAAATTTTTTCTCTGATGCTTTCTTCCTGCCCCTAATCTACTGAGTTCAGGAACCACAGGACATGCTTTCTGATGTGTAGGATCCTAGTTAGTGCCAGCCACTGATTGTTTGAGTTCATGTATATCTCTGAGGAGAAACTAATGTCAAACATATTAAAATAAAATGTGTGTCATTTCATTTGTGGATAAAAATGATTTTTCTAGGGACAATACTACCTAAAAAGGTGATTAGAGTAAAGGGAAAGCCTTTTAATGGATCCCACCTTATCTTTCAATATGTCTCACTGCACATGTGTATTTTTGACAGGTATGATCACAGTATGAATGTGAATCCATAATTGATCAAAATGTTGGAAAATGTTTACTTAAACTTTACTCAAAATGTACATCTGAAGAGCTTACAAAAATATGAACAGCAGTTCTAACAATTCACAGATATGTACCTTCTAGAAATAGCCTGATAAAATAAACTTGCCCCAAAAAGAAAACATTCACCGAAAATAAAGTTCTTAAAATCATTATAATCCTTCATGATAAGAACAAGTTTTCAGCTGTCAGAATGAAATCAATAATACGAATCTGGACTTTCTCAAAAGTTTCCCCAAAATGCATTCTGCACATTAGTAATAGCAAAGATCTGCAAAATAATAGCTAATTTAAATGTCACTAAAGATCAAGCATTGAACAAGAGAATACAGGGTGTTTTGATAATACTTGTAAGCCTCTTAATATACCCACCTAATTTATTACTATGTATCAGCCTATAAAAGGGGATTTTAAAGGAACATAGGAAGGAAAGAAATATTGTAAATTATAAATCAGAAACTGCATTGAACTATAAACTTCCTGGTTTTTTAAACAGGTAATACTCAAGTTTATGGCTTAAATTGTAATTATTAAATTACAGAAATGTATGGTGTATATAAATATTTCAGGCCACCAAAAGATATCTTTGAGAATAAAGTTTAGTATTTGTACTTTTCTGTTTAAATGGAAAACTTTTTTGTTCAGTGCAAATTGCTCATTAGTACAACATATATGATAAAAATAATTACTCTCCATCCACGTCACAGTCGATTATTTCACTGTAACTGCTTCTATGTTTAATCTAAATTAAAGCTTTAGTACAGTGAGTGTCATACTGCTCAATATATTCAAAAATTCCATAAAAATACTCCAACACTAATTCCAATAAGCTTACCATGAGATATTGCCTTGCAAGACAGACAGACTCAATGGTGCCCTGGAGGTAGACGGTGGATTTCTTCTGTGGATTACTGGGATCGGGAAAGTGGATCTGAGCACCTGTTCTCTGCATGATATGCTTGATGTTGCTCCCATTTCGCCCCATCATAAAGAGATGATGCTGAGCCGCGATGTCTAGCTGCGTGCTCACAGGAATAGCTGATGCTAAACTCCCAGCAAGATGTTCTAACAGCATGGCAGTTCCTTCCTAACAGAAAAGGAGGGAGGCAAATAATCTTATAAAATACAACTGTCCAAGTCTACTGATCTTCTAACAGCTACAGAAAAATACATTATATTCTATAAATCCAAAGAACATAAATAAAAATTACAAAATAAAATAAGTCTCGCATCCCTTAAAAATAAAATTTTCATGATTCGTAACACTTAGGATGTCAGGAACCATTTAGGTCATTTACCTTCACAGCACTAGTGTTATTCTGAGACCCCCGCACTATGACAGTAGCACCATACATTCGGGAACGCTGTTTAAATGACACTGAAATGTTGTACGTCTGGGATATGTGCTGAATAGAGGGGGAATTAGGATCGGGAACTGGTTGAAGAATTCCAGCAATTGGTAACTCAAACATCAGCACCAAAGGAAGCAGCTCCTAAAACAAAATTGTAAGAACCCAAGTAGATCATTGAGACATTCTACATTTTGATATGTGTGTAATTCATTTGTGAGTTACATATATCTTTCTGAAGATGGATTTCTAACACAAATTGCTTTTATGGTAAACCAAAGTTTACATTGACTGGGTCAAGTTTTTTTTTTAAACAGGAGCCTTTTGCGAACCTTGAGAGACTGTACTTCACACTGTCAATAACATTTGTTCTCAAGCTGTTATTTGGCATTTAAAAATCATCAGAGAAACTGAGTCAGATGAAATCCAGCATCTCTGAGAAATGCCTTCAATACACAATACAAAGAAACCTGTAAGTAATCTAGAATCTCATTTTAATACATACAATAAGATATCAGCAATAATAATTTAGATAATGGTGGCCAGAGAACGAACATGGAAACAACCTTTACCACTACTTCCTTTATTGAAGATACTGGTTATAAAATAATAACACATATTATGTAAAAGTTTTATAATACAAATGTTGTAACATCAATTTATATTATGAAACTAAGAAATAGTTACCCGAATTCTAACTCGGGCAGATTCTACTCCTGCTGGTTGTCCTGCTATAGACACCTGAAAAAATAAATAAAAAAAAGTTCTTTTAAATATATGTGTGTGTATATATATATAATTAGTTAGATTTATCTTAATCAAACTCATATCTGCTTTTCTAGTTATTTACACCTTTGCTATTCAAAGTGTGTTCCACCCACAAAAGAAGCAAATCAGGAACTCATTAAAAATAAAGGTTTCCAGGCCCCAAACCAGACCTGCTTAGCCAGAATATGCATTTTAGCGAGTTCCTCAGGTAATATTTATCAACTGATCTATATCATATCTTGGACTGAAGCTGCACAGTCCCCTTATACCCCATGAGGTCTTCATGCCCTCTTTATCATTAGTCTTTTTCATGATATTCTTCTCCCTTTTGTTTAAACTATATGTGCCAGGTACTTAGCAATATGGAATCATATTACATTAGGTCAGTGGTGGCAAGCCTAGGGCACGGCATGCCACAGTGGGCTGTTCTGTATCACTGAAAACTCCAAAAGGTTCACCATAACTGCACTGGGGTTCACAAACACTGAACTTCTTCCATACCAGCAGGCAAATAATCACTGCCCCAAAACCCACTTTTCCCTGGCTCTTACCTGGGATGCCCTGAACCTTCCTGCGACCCACCGATTGGAACGCTGGTACTGCATCAGGTGTGGGTACAGGAGTACTGCACCAGAATACTGCTTACGGATCACAGTCATGCCATAGCAGCTGCTCAGTATTTTCATTAATGCCCTGGCTGTGATGCACGGTCTCTTATGCACACAACCCACTGTTACCGTAAGTACTTGTACAGAAAAGATGTCATTTTTTTGTGGTTCACAGTTTCCAGTCTTGTAATTACTTTAGAAGAGAGAACATTTCCAAATAACAAAAGTAATACTATCTGTTCAAGTATTGTAAGTGCTTGCATACGGACAGCTGAGTTTTAAAGAGAAAAATCAGAAAAACTGTGTGCAGAGAGGGACACAATTCAGTCAAATAAGGCAGGTGCCTTCCAGAAGGGGATCTGCTGCTAGCTGAATGCCTGCCTATGCAAACAGAGTCTAGGCCTTGACAGGATTCTGGTCCAGGCAAACTTTTAGGCCCTTCCCCAATGAACTTTCCTTAAGGGCTTTATTTGGTGACCATCACACTCTCTGTGCTTTTCACCAACCATTCAGAGACCAAGAGTAGGTCCCACTCACCCTGAAGGAAGCACGGCATCTTCAGTCTCCTCACGAAGAGTCATGCGATAGATACTGCACGTCATCTAAATGATTACACTTTTGCTCTCATCTCTCAGAAAAGATACTATTCTAAAAATTAAGTCTGTACTTCAATCCAGAATAGTTCATGTGAGGCCGGGCATGGTAGCACACACCTGCAACTCCAGCACTCGGGAGACTGAGGCAGGAGGACCATTGCAAGTTCAACGCCAGCCTGGACTACATAGTGAGTGTAAGGCCAGCCTGAACAGCATAACAAGACCTCATCTCAAAAAGACAAAAAAAAAAGTTTATGTGGAAAGACAACTCACCTGGTTGCTTTTTTCTGCCTGGTTGTTTCTGTTGGAATCTGGAAAGTGAATGTGGCATCGTGTTTCTTCCATCACTTTTTTAATATTGTTGCCACCTTTGCCGATTACATGGGAGTGCTCTGTGTGTGAAACATCCATCTTCAATGTGACTCGATTGCTCTATGTGGAAATAGAGTGTTATTTCTTGAGGTATAAAAAGGGAAGGAACAAATCCCTACTTGGTCTTTAGTATTTTTCAGTATTTAAAGAAGCAATATAACTCAGGCGTGGCGGTACATGCCTATAATCCCAGCACTTGCGAGGCTGAAGTAGGATTGCTGCAAGTTCAAAACCAGCCTGGGCTATATAACTAGACCCTGCCTCAAAAAATAGAACAAAAGTGATCCAATGGGAAACCTCACAGGTTTCTTAATAAGGTAATATCAATCTAAAATGTTTAATTTCTATCAATTTCTCTTTGGTTTAAAAAAAAAACTTTCAGTTGACACACATGTCAGAAGAAATAGATATATTTTCTGCCATGATACTCTCCTGGAGATTACACTTTAAGTAGAGTCAGCTACAATCGTAAATATATTACTTATTTTTTCTTTAAAGACATTATTCATGAAATATGCAATTCAAATACTCAAAATGGGTGAAAATGTAATTACAAGACTAAGGATATGCAAGTTAGGGGACTGTATAACTAAGATAATAGAAAACTAGAAATAAACATAAAGCTCAAAACTGTGAACAGGGAAGTATTTATAAGCACTGCTTTCATAACTTCTGTGTCAGTGTATGTGGAACCTCACAACACAAAACCATTATTGCTACTGGTAGGAAGGAGAGGGAGGAAGCGGTCACAAAGCACTCACATGCTTCTGGCAGCAAAATTAAAGTACACACAAACTAGACAATTGGCTTATTACAGCACAAGACATGATTAATAAACAGTGGTCAGACTGAAATTGATACATTAAATTTTAGGAAAGTTAGTCTTCTAAAACTTTCTAAATTACAAAACTGTTGAGGAAATTCCATAGTCCATAAGGTAGAATTTATAAGACTGCTATGAAATTCCATAGTCTTTAAAAGTAAAATTAAAAAGTCTAAATGCAACAAGATATTAAAAATTGGTAATTTTAAACCTTTTGAAATCTTAAATTCTCAAATTACATTAAGTATTTTGGTTTTTAAATTTAATTTGGTGTAACTTTGGAAATATAGTAAAATATTCCTTCTTTTGAGGAATATCCTAATTCCTAAAAATATTTTCAAAAAGATTAACAACAAAAAAGAACAGAATATCAAAAGAAAGGAAGAAAAATAGCTCAGAGATCATTCTAATGAATTAAGTAGCGAAAGAGAAAGAAAGAAAGAAAGAAAGAAAGAAAGAAAGAAAGAAAGAAAGAAAAGAAAGAAAAGAAAAGAAAAGAAAAAGTTGAAGAACTAGACTGCCTAGATGTGAATCCCCTCCCGATTTAACCAGCTCTGGGATCTGGAGCAAATTATTTAATACTTCTGTGCAGAGTTAGTACCAAGGTTTAACAAACTACTGTATATTTGTTTGTACTCTGCTCGTAAAATGTAAAGTGCTCAGTAAAGTGCCTGGAATAAAATAAGTGATTTAGATGTGTTTAAAGACAGTAAATTCTCACACGTGGGTATAAATTTTCAAGTGTTCCAATGTCCTTCTTATCCCTCGAATGCACTCATTTGCAGTAGCAGACAAAGAACAAAACTGTGCAAGAGGAAGCCACTAATTTCATGTCATCACATACCAAACAGAGTGGTAAGATCATTCTGGTTTCCTACTGGCATCATAAAGGCCAATATGCTAAGTCCTACAATCTTTGTTACTTACCCTACACTAACCAGGACCACTGTCTATTGCTGGAGATGGTAATGCGCACAAGCATATGTGCACAAATCCACATATATAGACATACGTGTGTGTGTACATGTATACATATATACATATCACTCAACTACTTGGAATCAGAGAGGCTATTCAAATATTAAATAGAACTCTATATCTACTGCAGAATTGTGTATGTGTATTTTAAGACCCACCATTACTTTCCCTTGCCTTTTCTTCTCCAAACAGTTCTTTCATAATGGCATGACGTAGCTCTTGCAAGAAGTGCTGACATTTAAGAATCCTTAACATTCACTTACTTTTGTGTCTAAGACCGACATGATCATTTCCTTGGCTTCCTTAACATCTTCTTTCCTTCCAGAAACCTTAATATGGGGATCTACAAGAAATCAGAAACAAAAACTCATGTAAAAGTCTCCAACTTTCCCCAGTTCTCTGGCTTAAAATTGATGCTACCATGTGAGAAAAGATATCAGGATGTGGTGGTGCTTGTCCGTAATCCTAGCCACTTGGAAGGCCGAGGCAGGCAGACTGCAAGTTCAAGACCAGTTAGAAAACTTAGTGACTTAGCAAGACCTGTCTCAAAATAAAATAAATAAATAAATAATAGAAAAGGTTGAGGATATACCTCAGTGCAAAGGTCCAGTGTCCAAGTCCCAGTATTACACACACACACACACACACACACACGATTCCATAATAAACTGTTTATTTCACAGTAGGTATGCTATCACTGTAGTTAAATAAAATGGAAGATACCCAAATTGTACATTTATTTGCAACTGGTTTCCTTTAGAAAACTGGCTAAGACATTAAATTTTTTGCCAAATAAACACATGTCATGATTGCAAAATAAATATGTCAAATAATTATTTTTTACATAAGTGAGCAATCTATAAATCTATTTATCAAGCTCTTGCTGAATTGCAGTCCATTTTTAAACTTTTTCTTTTTAGTTTGCAGTGCTGGGGATTGAAGCCGGGGCCTCATGCATGTGATACAAGCAGTCTACCACTAAGCTACATCCCCAATCCCTATGCGTTTAAAACATGCATTTAACTTATTCCACACCACAGCCTTGTGATGTTTTCCACAGCAGAAACTAAGACATAAAGTAGCAGTTCAGTAACTTGTGCCAGAAAGTTACCCATAGACAGCCATTATAATCCAGTATCTTCCAACTCTGACCCTCACTTTAATGATAAGACATCTTTGACAGGTCAGAGAGGACAGAAAATAATTTTCACTTAGAAATATTTAAAATCATCAAGAATTCACAGTGAGTGACTAATATATGCTACATCTATTATTTATTACTGAATTTAATATAGGGAAGCATTCAGTCATTGAACAAATATTTTCTGAATAATTGTCATAGCAGGCACTGCTCCAAGGATGTGTAAGTAAAGGAAAAAAACCCTGTCCACAACAGACAGTTTACAGTCTTGTGTAAGGAGACAGAAATAAATCAAATACATTACTTCATATATTGAATTAGAAATATTATGAAAAAAGAAATAGGAAGGCAAGAGACAAAGATCAGGAATACAGTTACAGGAAGGGGAGAGGACAGTAGGACTTATTGAGACAGTGAGACCCGGGTGAAGCTGTAAGCAGGTTGTGAGATGCCGCTGACCACAAGGAGGAAGGCAGCAGAGCCAAAGGCTCACTGTAGAGAGCAGACTCTTCCATTCACTCTTTAATTAGGCTGCCAAGTCATCCAGCAATCGGGGCATTCTAACTCCTTAGAGCCTGTTGTAGACCAAGGCCATTTCGAGAAAACAGCAGTACTCATCAGCATTAGTGATAAAGCTGAAAGGTCAAGATAATTCCTTATGGCTGTCACATCACTGAAAATCTTAGCCTTCTTGATGCCTAATCCATGCTGACTTCTTGGTGACATCATTTAGGAGTGATGATCAGGGACAGTGCCAGTGAACATTACGGAGGACCTTTTGCAATTAGCATTGTCTGAGGCCTTTAATTCTTCCAAAGTATTATTTTTCTGTAGAATCATCAGGTTGAGATTTTATCTTAATACCCGTATTTCCCCAATATTGTGATCTCTATATCCCCATTCCCACTGCCCAAGTAAAAAGCAATCCCATGATGAACGTATCACTTTGTATGTGTGTGTGGTACCAGGCCCCCCGCACTGAGTTCTATCTCTAGCCACTGTTTCTTTCTTTCTTTATTTTTAATACACTGCAATTCTCCTGCCTCAGTCTCCTAGAGTGATGGGATTATAGGTGTGTGCCACCCTTGGTTACACAGCATATTCTTAAGATAGTTAGGGGACTGACAGGTAACAAAAGAGAGAAACAAGGAGAAGCGAGAGACAGAAACAGAGGGGGCAAGTAGGAGGGAAGAGGAGACAGAAAGAAGAAACCATTTTCCTAAAGATACCCACTCTTAGGAACAGTATGGTGAGATCACAGTTAACATCGGCACACCAAGAAGCCGCAGAGTTCAGGAATGCGCTGGCCTTCCGGGGAGACGTCCAACAGCTGTGCTTGATTTGAGTCAGTGCCATCACCTCCAGCCCAGGCCCCCTCCCTGGACTGCTGCTGGTGGCTGCTCTTAGCCTCAGGCACTTCTCCTTATCCTGTTTTGTAATCCCTCCTCTGAGGCTTGCCCTGTCACAGGGACCAATGCTGTGAGAATCAAACGCCTTCCTCAAATCTTTCTGAAATGTTTAAGTATTAGATGTTGTATATAAGTCAAGGGACCTAAAAGCAGAATACAAGTGATGTCTAGCACACAGAGGCCTCCATCTGATTCACCCTTGCTCTCCACTGCATCCTCACAAGAGGAAGGTCGTCCTCTCCGCATAATACATGATTAATACAACACATACCATAGCTACCTTTTGCCACACTTGTGTGATTCACTCATAGGATAGCCATCATAACTCCTTTTAAGAAATAATTACATGAAGAACTGTTTACATTCACTTTCAATTCTAGCTAGTCTCAATTCTGGCTTGTGTTTCTACCACTGACTTTGACGGTAATCTGTAAAGAAAAGCATCACTATCACCAGGTGCTGAGAATCTAGTGTTTTAAGAAACACACCTGTGCCCCACAGTCACTTGCAGCAGTTGCTAAAATGCATACATCTTACTGGCTGCCCAAGTGATTCTTAAAGATACAAAACAAAGGATCAAGCCACGGGAGGATTTTAACTGTAATTTCCATGTTTTAGCTTTTTATTTCCCTACATATACAAAAAAAAAATAATTAACAGTAAGTACTGAGAGGTATAATAACCTGCCTAGGCTGGAAAATCACATTAAAATCCCTATGCACCTATAGAGTAACAGGGAGCCTCAGATCCAATTGAAGGCAAAATTTGATTGTCTACCACCTCTGCATCAACAGAACAAAACCCTCAATGGAAAGTAATTTATTTCAAAGTGTAAGAGCACCATCTAGTGACCACAAAGCAAATTATCAACAACCCACAGAAACACGTGTGTATGTGTTCACACACACAGTCTCCGAGGTATAACATCAAACTGGCTCCAGAATCCCAAACAATGCTTTTTATGGAAAGTGGTTCTTTAAATAATCAAGTTTCATAAGGACCCCCCCCAATACCAAATTTCTGGTTTAGACTAAGATGGTCAGTAGTGCAGTTTTCATCCCTTTTTTCACTCTTTCTTACATGATACACACAAGATGTGTGCTCTGAGTCAAGGCTGAACATAATTTACTCATTTCGATTCCTAAAATACAATGCCTCTGACAGTCCACAGTGCAAACCTGCCTGTTAGTCCCTGTCCAAGGGGCTTGTCATTCAACCTGGAACTATCCGACAGAGAAAAATCAAATTATTAACCATATTAATAAACATAAAAATGAAAATAAAAGTCAGGCAGGAAGACCTGAGAAGTTAGGGATATAGGCAGTTAGTAGATAGCACTTCCTCTTCAAAATTAATTACTTGAAGAAAAACTCCAATTTGGACATGAAAGTTTTGAGATATTTATTCTAAAAATAAGAATACTCCTTGTTTTGTAACTAATCCAGGAATTACATCTTGCTTTTCTAAAAACTAAAGCATGAACCAAGCAGTAGATGCTGAGCGCACTGCCACTGCAGGGAACAGCAGGTCCTGTGCTTACTGCAGAGGAGACAATGCAGAGGAGCAGATGGAACCAGAGAAGAGTCTAAACCTTCTATGCAAAGTGACCCTTTGTCTTGCACTTCCCAAAATAAAACAGCTTCAAAGATTCTGATCTTAATACCTGTGTATCAATACAGAGATACACGTAACACTGATCCAGATTCCTGGCTCATATGTTCCTGCGCTAGCTGTCTGCTCACATGGACAAGAGGAAGACTGGGTGGCAGTCCAACCTGTACTATGTAACCGGATGCTGTAAAGAGCACACCTAGGAATGACTGTTTTATCCATGTATGCTGAAAAAGAAATGAAAGTGTACCTTTCTTTTTGTAAACCTAAATCTTTTTATAAAATGTCTCTTATGACTTCCATCTGAAATTCATCAGAACTTGATACAGCCACTATTGTTTTTGTAACAGCAGCTTCTAAACACCATATTTTCAATAAAAATAAACATTCTAAAGAGCTGAGACACTTTAACAAATTTAAGTTATGGTTTTAAAAAGATTATCTCTTGGTATTCTGGTTTCTAAGCTTTGGTTTTCCACCCCTGGAAACATTCCCATTCTTGAAAATATTACTGAATTATTGCCTTCTCCTCTCCTCAAGCCTCACTAAACCTTCTTTCCCCTTCCTATTCCATAGCAAAATCTACAGAAAATACTGATTTTTTATTACAGTACAGACAGTAATGTGCTATTGACACATGATGAGTTTAAGTCATCAATCTTTTGCCAACAATGTTTGTAGCTACTTTCCTGACTCCCTGATGGAATGCTGCTGAGCCAAAGATTCAACCCCCCCCCAAATTTGGGGTTTCATTCTTTGCACATTCTTTAGAGAGACAGAAAGCAACAGAAAATCCCTTGTTTGACCCACTCCCTGCTTTCAAACTCACATTACCCCAAAATGAAAGCACCATATTAGAGTTGCACATCTATTTATGAGGGGAAAAAGTCCCACATCATGGCCTGAAACAAGGAGGGTTCTGGTATAGTTTAGCATATAAACAAACTACCAAACTAGCCTCAAGTCCATGAAGAAGAAAAGGAAAGTTAACAAAATTCACTTTCTCCCAGCTAAAAGCTCCCTTCATTCTGTTTCAAGCTGATTTGCTTCCTGAAGAGCTTTAGCCTCTTTAGCTGGGTAACCCACAGAGGCATTAGGCAGAGCCAGGTCCCTCAGGAATGGCAATGTGGACCACCACAGGGGTGGCAGGTCCAACTTCCTCCAAAATTCCCCACCATAAGG